GACACCTTACGTTAGACATAAAATCTTTCACAACCAGGTAAACCCGCAAGTCCCAAGTTTACTGTGACTCTGGGAGGTGTCCCCAGCCCTGGAGATACAGGATGGGTCCTGTGAAGAAATGAAACAAGCAAGCCACACTGCTGTCTTGAAAAAGGGACTCCAAGTCTGTTCCTCTCCACCATGGTGACCCAGACAGGTTTTGCCCTTTAAGTCCAGGGTGTACTACAGGAACCAGAAAAGTACTGGAGAGCTGCGGTATTGAACTGCCTGTAAAATTGTATGCGATTACCACCACCCAATGTCGCTTTGAAAACTTTGCCAATTATAAATTTGCTTTAAAAAAATGTGTTCATCCAAATTTATTTATCTCTAGTATGAAATTTATTGTCAAATTGATTTTCCATACAACACCCAGTGCTCATCCCAACAGGTGCCCTCCTCAATAGCATGGGAAATGTTAAACCCAATTGTCCTCCCCTTGCGGTTCCGTGGCAGACAGAGCACTGCCATCTAGTGGTCAGCCTCCGCCATTCCGCCTCAGCTCCTAAGAGCATAGAGTGGCCTTTTTTTTTCTCATCCAAATCACTGGGAACAAGTCCTGACCAGTCCAAGTACTGGTAACAAGCTCTTGCCACCCTGTAAGAGCTATGCTGCCACTTAATGCCTTGAAATGGATTCGACCCAAGTTTGTCATGGTGACACTGCCAGCAAATGACCAGCCAGAAGATCAGGGATTTTCAGTTTCTATACATTGGTGAGTGACAGTCCACAGAATTTATCAAACCCCTGAAATGCGGAATATATTAATTTCACAATATGAAAGTACTGTTTATGTGGCAGGCCAAACTTTTCACAATGTTAAGTTTTTAAAATAGAGGTGTGTGTGTGTGTGTGTGTGTGTGTGTGTGTGTGTGTGTGTGTGTTTTAACTATGAAGAAAAGCCAGTGAGAGAGAAATTAAATGTTTTTTGAGGTATGTTTGAAACTGCCATTTTAAGTCCTAGAATTTATAAGAATCATCATACTTAGGTAGGGAATACTTAAACAAGTAAAATCTTACAAAAAATAATACTGTGCTGGCTTTACTGATGTTCTTTCCATGTGGAAATTCAGCAAACTGCTGCTTTAATTTTCCCTCCGGTTGGTACACAGTTTACCATAACCTATGAGTGGCTTAAAGTAGCCATTCTCTTCTATTTTTAGTTTTTCAGGTTGTTTACTTTGAGAAGCAGCTACTAGAGGAGAAACCTGGGGTAGGCCTTTCAGGGTGGGCAGAACTTTGCTGCTTGGGTAAAATGTTTCCTAAGATTCAGGGCCTCACCTGCTTGGAAAGGATGACAGAGAAAAAGTCAGGATGGGTGTTTTGATTAAACCATTTCGAATGGTAATTGCCATGGATGTTTCCATTTATGGTTAATATTTGCTTTTAAATGAATATTTTAAGAAACCATTATCATAGGAAAACACATACACACACACACACAGTCTCAGAAAATAATTAGCTGTGGTTTTTAACTTCCCAAGGATACACTCATATATCTTCATATTCTGAAAAATGACATCCTAAGAACTATTTATAAGTGAATATATTGAGAGTTACCACTAAAGATAACTTTTGAAATGTAAACTCTGATTTGAACAGTACATTTCAAATGACACAAATCACATGAGTAAATAGAAAATTAGGGCTATGTATCTGGGCTGTAATGTTAATATACATTGTATTATGTGTGTGACTTAAAATTCTGTATTTAGGTAAGAAGTATCAGATGCTTTTGAATTAAACAAAGAATATATCACTGATAAAAAAAAAATAGCCAGTCATTAAGTGGCTATCATAACCTTCAAAGAAGATTTAAGGCAACACAAACAACCTTTCCATGTAAATATTCTAGAGTCAGCTCTAGACGGCTTCAACTCTGCACCACTAATGACACTTGTGACCCACAGAATTCCCAGATGGATTTAGCCTGTCTGCACTGAACTTTTAAAACAAGTTAGAAAAAGGCAAGCTCTCTGTTCTTCTGGTGCCATGTGTATATATTCTGGCTATTTCAGGATACAAGGTAATGGGAAAAAAGCACCTTTTGCTTCATTTTTCACCGTAATGAGGAACACCATTTGACATGTGCACCAATTCCACTAGATAAGACAAGAGCAATAAAATGCAGCGCTGAAACATGCAGAAAATAATGTTAACTAAGGTTCTACTAGGCACTGGATAGTTGTTTTATGATATTTTAAAACTCAGTTTTAACTGACTGTGCCTGAGTCCAAACTCTGGAGCAGAAACAACTATGAATTCTCACTGATCAACAAAAGTTCCAAGAGATTGGGAACACCACAGCGTGGATGTATATGGCGCAAGACACAGACGTTTATGGGGGAAGAAACTAACCTGTTTGTAAATTTCCACCGTATCCATTTGAAAGACTGCCAGAGCTGTGTACCTGTAGATTATACCTTCAGTACTGATCAATGACAGCTCTGACAACGATAAAAAAAGTCCAGCTGTTTGCATTTCGCAGTTATGGTGGTAAACGGGACGGCAAATGTATTAAATCATTTTTCTTAGCAAGGAGTCAATTCTATTCAAATCAAGTAAAGATACCGTTTCATACCTGATGTTTGAAACTTAAGAAATGCAGGTTAGACAATTTCTTTTAAAAATTGTTAAGTAACCGGGGGCGCCTGGGTGGCACAGTCGGTTAAGCGTCCGACTTCAGCCAGGTCACGATCTCGCGGTCCGTGAGTTCGAGCCCCGCGTCGGGCTCTGGGCTGACGGCTCAGAGCCTGGAGCCTGTTTCAGATTCTGTGTCTCCCTCTCTCTCTGCCCCTCCCCCGTTCATGCTCTGTCTCTCTCTGTCCCAAAAATAAATAAACGTTGAAAAAAAAAATTTTAAAAAAAAATTGTTAAGTAACCGCAAACATACTTTAAACAGAATACCTACGATTAAAAATAGCAGAAAGTTAACCAAATGAGCAATATAAGAGAAGCTTTCTTTTAAAAAAAGGAAAACGCCAGGACATGCAAAAATCCAAACACATAAACAAGACTACCCAAATAAAACAAAACCTGTCGACTCTGACAACAAATCAATTGAGTGAAGAAATTGAATTACTAGAGGATAATATAAGCCAGCAGTGTAGAAAGATAAACAAAGATAAGTCTAAAAATGTAAACAATGGTAGTGATCCAATGAACGTAAAGAACGGAAGGGAGAAATTATGAAATTAAGTAAAAATAGTGCTTTCCACTGATAAAGGTTTTGATCTATCAAGGAGTCATGAGTTATTAGCCTTTTTGTTTCAAATGAGTTACCAGAATATGTCAAGCCATAACTGGTAGAAATGAATCACTGATAGAAATATTATGGGAGAACCTTATCACACCTCCATTAGACTAATCCCAAGCTCTGCATTTATGAACTGTGTGACCCACAAAGGTTATTAAAACACGGTTGCCAAGGAACCAGGAGGGAAGAGTGTGCCAGGCCAAGGCCGCCAGCAGAGATCAGCAGCCGCTGGAGTAGCACAGGTTGGCAGACGAGAACAGGGCCTCGGCAGAAAGATGTCTCTGCGGAGGGAGAAGGGTTTAGGAACCTTTCTACATATGTGACTATATTTTGTGCTCTTACCTTACTTACCTTCCTACACTTGACTCAGGTTAACCTCTTTTTATCTCAGTCCATTTTCCCCCTCCAATTTCTGACATTGATATCCCATTTTGAAAAATGAGTTCGTTTTTAAAACTTCACAACCTACAGAACTTGAGTTTGTAGGTAGAGAAAGAAAATAATAACAAATCTGAACGAGTACTGTGTCTTTCTCCCCGCCCCCATCCCCTCCTCCCACCTGGGTTTTCATGGCAGAATGAACCTCCTTTAGTCCCCATGCCAATTAGGGGCTGTTTAACTATCCTTGTGTCCCTCTCCAGTTAACCCACCATCTAAACGTTAGCCGAATGCAACCTGCCCTACTTAAGCTACTTCAATTTAGTCTTGCTTGCTGCTTCCTCCAAAACGTGCTTTCCGTATGGGTTGATCCCACATTTCCTCATCCCTTCTAAGCAGCATACTGGTTTAAACAATTGGTCCCCATGGTGAGTAGTACATGCTTCAGCGGTGGTATATGCTCTTTCATGGGGATACCAAATATTTTTCTTGACTCTAATGTGTTCTGGAGCCTTGCTATTCAAGGTGTGGCCTGTGGACCAGCCGCACGAGCATCTCCTGGGAGCTTGCTAGAAACGCAGAATCTCTTACCCCACCTTAAACCCACCGAATCAGAATCTGCATCTTAACAAGATTGCCCGGTGATTCGCGTGCACATGACAGTCTGAGAAGGGCTGGTCTAGTGACTATTTTCTGCTAATAACGTTGGCTACGTCATTCAATGCCGTGTCCAGCCAACCCCACTCCACTTTCACAATGTACATTGGCTTAATAAAGTCTCTGATAAAACTGTATTGAATAAGCCAATTTTCTTTTTGCTTCAGTCTTGTTGAAACCTATTCTTCCATGGATCCCCCTGTCACACGATAACTATTAACATCCTTCAGAATTCACATCTATGGAGCATTTTGGGAAATGCTGGACTAATGAACATAATGTGATGAATGAGAGCAAATCACCAATTAGGCACATCTTTGGATTTTAGTTTCCTCACCCATTTGATGTGGACAACACTGTGACCTTTAATTAATTAATCAAAGGGTGGCTTTGGAGGAAAAAGTGAAATAGACGTGAAAGCCCTGTGGAAAATATGAGTGTTGAGAGAAATTTCATTCATTCATTTATTCACTTAACAAGTATTTATGCGTGTCTACTCCTTCCTAGGTCCGTGCTGGGGAAATGGCTGCAGCAATGAGAAAAGCGGACCCGGTTCCTACTTTCATGGAGCCAAAGATCAGTTCATGTGAATTAAGGCTTAAGATCTATAGACCACAAAGGTATGCACGAATTCCCCTGAGGTAATCAATTGCTAAATGAATCCCATCAGTGGTATTTCAACTCAGAATTTATTTAATTAGCAGAATGCTTTCTCAAAACCACAAGGGAGTAAAGAGTGCCTACTAAGAATCATAATGATGTTAACATTTATACAGAATTTATGGCATATGGGCAACCCAGCCCCTGATGTGTACTGTTTGACAATTGCCACGGTGTATATACTCTCACAGGACCAATTAATTTCAAGCTACTAGTAAGATGTTACTGGATGTGGGGATGGGAGGATTCGGAGAATCAGAAAAGGTATACATTATCAGTCCTTGTGAGCCAGTACAAACCGGCCGCAGCACATCATGACATGGCTCATGCAAAGTAGTTCACATAAAATAAATCATAACTGGTAAGAAAGCAACTATCATATCCCCCCACTTGACAGATGAGGACCCTGAGGCATAGAAATATTACATAATCTCCAGGATCATGTACTAACAAATGGTAAACTGGGATTTGAATCCAGAGACCTATGATACCACAGGCCCCCCTTTTAGACACTATAGCCCAGTGTTTAACAGAAAGCTCCGGTACAACTGCTTGGGCTAATGTCAGCCAAATCCACCTCATTCATTCATCACTCACTCACTAACTCACCAGGAGCAGTCAATGTTGGGGAATACATTTTGGCTGAGATGTTCACAGTGGTTCCACTGGCGTGAAAATATTCTATGTCGGACCTAAAATAAACCAACATTTGAATGTGGCTAATGCACTTCTGTGTGACACAGCCACACTATCAGAGGGTAGCGACAAGATTTCCTTGCTTAGTCTTTCCAGATAAAGGAGATTGGCTCAAACTGCTGATCGGGGATGGAGATTATGATAGAAGGTCAGGTGGGCACATGGGTGTGTGTGGAGTTTCTACTATCTGAATGGTAAGAATATCTGAATGGTAAAGAATAATATTGCTCTGGATTAAGCCAAGGTTATTCTGGCCAGACCTGAATTGGCTAGGACAGGGTACTGGTTGCCAAGGGCTGCCATAACCAGGTACCACAAACTGGATGGCTCGAACAACAGAAATTTATTGTCTCACAGTTCTGGAGGCTGCAAGTCTGAGATCAAAGTGTCAGCAAGGTCTCTTCTGAGGGTTGAGAGAGAATCTGTTCCATGCCTCTTACCTAGCTTCTGGGATTTGCTGGAAATCTTTGCATTCTTTGGCTTGTAGAAGCCTGGCGCTGATCTGTGCCTTAATCTTCACCTGGCATTCCCTCGGGGTCCAAATTTCCTCTTTTTATAAGGATGCCAGTCATAGTGGATTGAGGCCCACCTACTGACCTCATCCAAACAGATTATATCTGCAATGACCCTTCTGAGGTACTTGGGGTCAGGACTTGGACATACGGATTGGGGGAGATACAGTAACAGGTCTGTCCACAAGAGCAAAACCTAACTATAAATGAAAGTGTAAAGTTACAATAACATAAACAAAAAGCTTCTCTGTAAACTAACAAAACCTAGAGGTGAATAGCATGGGGAAGATATGGCAACCATGCTTTATAGACTCTTTTGCTCGCCATCCTACCATCCAAGCATGTACCCTGTTTTCAAGGTCCCAAATGTGGGCATCCATGTTCCAGGCTATGGATTAAAGGGAGGGACAGAAAAAAGGACTACACCACATATCTCTCAAAGAAGGTTCCTGGAATCTGTCCACATTACCCTGCTTATATGCCATTACTTGAACTTGGTAAGATGACTACGCTCTACCTTAAGAAAGTTTGAAAAATTTAGTTCTTATTCCATTCATCTAGATGAATTGTGGAATTTGCTACTATTTGGAAGAATGGGCCAATAGATGTTGCCGGTTAAACCAGCAATCTCTACCACAGATTATAAGGGAAAATTCAAAATTACACCACCTGTTAAGAGAGGGCAGGCTCTGAAAAAGGGAGCTCTTTCTGATGTCAGATACCTCGTCTGATGGGGAAGACACGAGTCTTTTTTGAGAGGGGGGAGGTCTGAGTCTTAGAATAGAAACATTCTCTGGGATGATGAGTCTTGGCTAAACAGAAGGGAGAAATTTGCTCAATCTGGTATTTAAAATGGCACAAGTATCCACAAAAGTTTGCAAGAGGCTAGACGTTAAATAGAAAACTAGTTTCAAAGGCAGCACGATGGAAACTAATGACATACGCCACGCAAGGCCTTCCTTTCCTTTCTGGAGGTGCAAAGGAAAGGGGATAGCAGGGGAAAGCTCCCAGAGAGCAAACACTTATTTCGCAAGCCAAATTCCCTAGTTTTATGATACTCCATTTCTCTTTTCACCCATGAATTTACTATCGTTTATTTTTGAACATTTTGTTCCTATTTCAAGTCTGAGCCAGTTGTTGAGTGAAGGGCTTTTGTTCACACTCAGCTCAGAACATTTGAATGATAAAGCGAGCCCATGCCAGGCCAAGACAGGAGAGGTAATTACTCTAATTGCAGATGTGGTCCTGCATGGTCCATCACCCCATCCTTCCCTACTAGAACTTCTACTCAAGCTGACTCTGGAGTGTGTGTGTGTGTGTGTGTGTGTGTGTGTGTGTGTTGCACTCACATCACTGTGAGCAGACAGCCTGTCGCACACAATTTCACTCCCAGACTCTCTCCTCATTTCTCCTCTCTGCTCAGTCCCTGAATTCTGTAGCTGCTGGTCCATGCTTAACCAAAAAAAAGAACTAGTTAGTAACGTTCTTCCTGCTCCGACAACCATCAGGAATCCACAACCAGGAAAACAAAGCAAAACAAAGGAATCCGTGGACACCTGCAAAAAATCCTGAAAATGTCACATTAGGCTCTCACACTGGCGTGGGAAGGTCTAGCACACCACTGGCTGTTGAACTGATGGATGACATAACAAGAAGGATTTACCTCAGATTCTAGAAGTCGCACCAAAATCCAGTCGCAAGTGGCGAGAGCCAGAGCAGCCCTATAAACATTCCAGAAGAACGAAGAATACATTCAGGTGTGAAGGTGTGAAGGCAGTCCTAAAAGAGGGTTTGGATGAAAATCCCCATCTTCAGAAAAGCATAACACTGCTGTGTCAGGAAACTGTAATAGGAAGGAAAATAGTGAATGAATTGAGTAAGCAGGATGGAGATTTTCCTCTCTGATGCACCTGCTCGTGTTGTGAAATGTCTCTACCGAACTCTGAGTTTACTTCCGTGTCCATATATCCTGAGAGCAGAAGTTACTTAAACCTTCAGATAAGCTTACTTCTGAAGATCCAGGAAGAGCAGTCCTAATTTTTATCTCTCATAAAATAGACTTTAATTTTCTGTATTTTACTCTCACTACTATTAAGGATTACACAAATTGATTGAAGTCAATCTTGAGAGAATTATAATTCTTAGTGTTCGAAAAACATGGATAATTTAAATTTGAATACTCTGAATACGATATATTCTTTTTATTCTGATTCTAAGTAGTCTAAGTTCAGTATTTTGTTGATTTTGTTATTTAACAAACGTTCACAAAAGGCAACAGAACAGGAATTTTATATGAACAACTGGAGACATCTGAGGCACACTGAAGACACCTGAATGAAGTAACTGGAGATATTTGAAACAAAGGCCACTTCTGTATACGCCCAGAGATGTAACTACCATAGCTATAAGACAAACATGAAAGCAACTTGGTGTTTGCCTAAATAGCTTCATTGGTTTTTAGAAAATGTTTCAGAGCCTTTAGAACTCGAGTCTTTAATATAAAGTTCAGACGCTTCTCTTGGGGTTTTATTAAAGTGAAAGTTCAAGCTCATTCACAAAAGTGGAGAAGTCCTTTTCCTCACCATCTCCCTAATTAATTTGTGAGTTATACACTCTCTCTTTCTGCTACAAACTTTCTGCCCAGCAATGGAAGTATCTAGTCCTATGAGATGATGGTCCATGGAAAAGTCCATGGAGCAAGGGCTGATACCAGTGATGGAGGTCTGGGGAAGATGAACAGAGAATAAGGTGAGGTTGAGCCATAGGACGCACCTCAGTAGGCAGGAACCACGATTTGTCAGGACATGGACATCACAGCACAAGACTAGATGTTCAGGAGAGATGGTTTGCGTGGTCCCCTTTAATCTGAATACAGAGGGCTGGGAGAGGAATTGAAGAAACAATATGAAAAAAATTAATTTATCTGGTTAACACTAGATGGCAGTGAGTGATAGTACTTAGTTGGAAATAGGACTCCGGCATCATTAATAATGACATTGTAGACATGTTTGGACTGTCTTGAGTATTGACATAGAACAACAAAAATCATCTGTTCCACTCTTGCTTTATTTCACTGTTTTTGCGATAATCCACGTGAAATATTAAAGGCATTTCCCTTTAAAAAAGGAACTATTAAAGTTTTTCCCTTCTCTAAAGGTAACTATAGTTTTTGTTTCGGTCTTCTGCTTTACTATCAGTTTCTCTATTCATTTTGGTGCTGTGATCTTTCATATTTGCGTGCCTTAGTGTAAATTTCTCTTTGAAAGCATATATGCATATGCATATACCTACGTATATAGGCTCTTTAAAGACAGGGAGCATAGTTCATCCTTCTATTTATTTGGTTATCGTTGTTATCAGTTCTTACTCAAATGCTTTAAATGTCTTGGACTTGGAGGGCCCTTCATAAAATCCTTTAAATATAGATTTCATTAGATTTTGTTTTGCCATATGTGAAGTAAGCCTGTGGTATTTGTTTTCCAATTGTTAGTCTTATTTACTGAAAGTGTATAATATTACTAAGGAAGAAATTGTTATAGTTGTATATCCTCAGGAAGTAGAAATTTAGCATCTTGGACCATCAGAGCTGAAAGGGGCCTTAATAGTCATGTGGTACAAATTTTCAGATGAAGTAAATAAGGTTCAGAGAAGTTTAGTAACTTGCTAGAGGTCACACAGCCCATCAGTGACGAAGTTAAAAATAGAACCAAGGTATCTTGGTCTGCATAGCTTCTTTAGTACTTTTTATAAGCTCCTAGGCCAAAGGTGCTGAGTGGAAGAAGTAGGTTCTCCAGGCTAAGGTACCAGGTTGGGGGTAATGTCCTGTCTATGGGCATGTCCTTTCAGCTGGATTCTATGGCCTTGAAGCCCAGCAAGATGGGACAGAAGCCCTGTGCAGCCTCTGTAAGCTTCAGTTAGGGGCAGGACAGTCAAATAGGTGTGATATGAAGGACAGGCTCCTTTTAAGCCACTGGAGCAATCCCCCTCCAAAGAGTGAAAGTTCCCGAATGTCGCTGCCTTCAGGAGGAAACGGGTGTCACGGATCCTAAACTTAAAGGAGGCTGGCAGGTTGGGGCTCTATCTGTGAAGCTGCATAGTCTGGGACCACACAGGCGGATGCACAGCTGAGCCTGAAGGCAGGGCAGGGAACCAGCTCCCGTGACCCGCCCGCCACAGCGCCTGGACTGTGCGCCACCTCCTGCCTGGTCCCTGCCTCTTGATGCAGACCCAGCCGTCCTTTCTGAAGCCTGATGCCTCCCCTCCTCCGGCCCGGTCCCCGAGGCCCCTTCCCTGGGGTGGCACGGGCAGGAATGCTCCCCACCTGTCAGCAAGGCCAGGCTGTCAGTGCAGGCTCTCCCGCCTCTCGGAGAGAACCTGTGAGAGCACAGAGTCCACAGGACCCCGGCAGGACAGCGGCTGGCCCCGGGGTGCTCTTACCCGCAGCGGTGCACCTTGCGGGAGGCAGGGGCCCTTGAAGCAGGGGACCTGACGTGGTCAGCCCGGCTCTGCTTCCTTCCAGCTCCAGCTCTTCTCAGGCTCCCAGGAAGACACATCTGCTCTTTGACATTGTGGAGCCAAGCTGGTCTGCTGCTCAAGGAGAAAGAACACAAACAAAACAAAACGCCCTCAAACTTCACTAAGCTTGAGAAAGCTGCAAGATTTAAGGGACTGGGGCCTTTGTGGGAATGCCTTTTAACCTCAGATCGCCTGCCAGTAAGTATTAGCCAATGTATTCGTGGGGCAGCTGCTAAGTGTCAGGACTGCGCTGGGCACGTGAGTTACCATGGTGAGCGAGACAGATGTGGTTTCTTCTCTCATGGAGCTTCACCTTTAGAGGAAAAGGCTGACACGGAGGAATAACCCAGTTACAACATCAAATGCTGACACTGCAACTTACAGTGGCGTGCCGAAGCCTGCTGGGGCTGGCGCCCCAGGACACCTGTTCGATATTCAGGAATTTTGTCAGCCGGTTGTTAAACACAGCCGTGACTGAAATCAGCTAAGGTGGGAGAACTTAGACCGCTGAAATCAGCAAGTGTCACAAACCAGTCCTTACCCGAGAGCGCCTGTTAACTTTTCACCCGCACAGCATTGGAGATAAGCGTGTGATCTTGTGGAGGGTTCCACCCTTGCTACTAACCAGGATGTAGTGAGCATTTCCAACTACCAGCTGGGCCAGGGGAGCTGGGAAGGGGGACCAGGCATCTGACGTCAGGCTAAGGGAGCCACCAGTGGGTGTCCTTTCCCTTCTCTACATCAGTGATCTGAGGAGGAAGGATTACTTCCTAGGCCATCTGTGCCAATGGGGCAGCCAGGTAGTGTAGACCGGACACCCACATGTGGTGCCACAGAAACATCTGGGTTAGGGAGGTTTGATGAGTTCAAGTAAATGCCCCTGAAGCACTCTCCTAAACTTTAGACACAAACCTTCCACCATCAAGATTTTGCCTGATCTGTATACCTCTTCTCCCATCAATAACTTCATGTTTTCTTTAAATTGGCTTGATTTAGCCCCAAAAACAAATATTTGAAGGGAAACTTTAGGCACTACCATTAAGGAAAATCAATACTGTTTGTAATAAATAGAAAGCAATCATTAAAAAAATGACCGCAATGAAAACAAAACAATGCTCTTAAATTCCAGCTAAGCTTGAGGTCTGCTCAGAGTCAACTGCGATGCGTGTACAAGATAAACTAGTGCCACCTGGCCACATTCTTCTGGCGGTCATGAGAACACTTGAAATCAAAAAGGAAATAACTTGGGGCACCTGGGTGGCTCAGTTGATTAAGCATCCGACTCTTGATTTTGGCTCAGGTCATGATCTCATGGTTCCCAAGATCGAGCCCCACGTCGGTCTCTATGCTGACAGCTCGAAGCCTGCTTGGGATTCTCCTTCTCTCCCTCTTTCAAAACAAACAAACAAACAGGAAATCACTCCATCAATGTGTGATTTGATATTTTTGAATGTCTTATCGGAACATCACTTAAAATTGTCATCATAGCGATGATGAGGGTGATATATCACAGTGACATTTCCTGAGCACTTCATGTGTGTCAGGTGCTGTTCTAAGTAACTTCCCCTCTTCTATGGTAATTGGATATTAATGGAACTCTCTCCTTTATTCAGTTTCTGCCAGTTCTGTTGTGATTCCTTGGTCTTTTTCTACTCATAATGCTTCAGCCGATTTAATTTCTCCGGAACCTGAAGCAAACAATTCACTACTATGATAGTTATCTTCCAATGAACACACAATTAATCCTTCTAATTAAATGATAGACATCACTTTAAGACAGGTCTTCATCCTATTACTGCTATGAAAACAGAAAAAAAAATATTTCCCCTGAAATTAAAATAAAATTAAGCTTTCTTGACTGATTCATTCATTCAACAGATATTTGTTGAGTACCTATTACAGGGAGCAGCAGGTGAACACAGAGAATGAGCTTCCCTGGCTGATGGCCCAGCCAGAGTCCCTGAAGTCATGGTCTCTCCCAGACTGTGGACAGAGTAAACGATCACATTGATATCAGCAGTTATCTGAAAGAGTTTACGTAAGAGCAGAAGGAAAGCCAGGGGCTGAGAGGTTCATTCATGATTAAGAGACTAGACTTCCAAAAAGGGGAAGATAAAAAGAAGTACAGCATGGTGATTAGAGTTAATAATACTGTATCATGTACTTGAATGTTGCTAAGAGAGTAGATCCTAAATGTCCTCATCACAAAAAAAGACATCGCAACTATGTGGAGAGATGGAGAAGACAGCTAAATATTATGGTGGTAATCATTTTGCAATTTATAAATGTATCAAACCAACACATTGTATACCTTGAACTTAAATACACTTAAATCCCTTGCACAGGCCAAGTCCTAGAAAGATGGTCCATATTCTAACTTCAGTCCTGCTAGCCTTTGCCCTAGCTAGCCTTCTTTGGTTAGTACAAAAGTTTTCCTTTACGATTCACTAAATTGAAAGACCGTTAGTGTGTACTCTATTATTTCATTCTTTCCCTTCTCTCTCCATACAAGCTCATTTCCCCCAGTGTTTTTGATGAAATGGTCTATCTAGATCTCTCCACACCTCTGTCATCTTCCTATGGTTACAGTCCCACTTTTTAATGTGTCCTTTAACAGGCTTGGATGCAGCTGGAGCTTTGTGGCTACCCGCCCCCCCACCCCCCCCTTATCGAGAGAGGAGAGCGGGCTGTGACATGTCTCAGCACTATGGGATACAGGATAAAGACATTAAAAGAAATGTAAGAAGCCAGAACATAATGCCCAGGAAAGTCAACCGTTTACAGGAGGGGAAGCCGAAACAGGCGGAGCTGGGATGACCTCCAGGCCACCTGTGAACAGAAGCAGCCTGTATTTTTCTTCTTTACTGCATTTTCTTTTCCCATTGAACATCTGGTCCATTTCCTAATGGCAATTTAAATGCAAAATGCGTGTGGTTTTCATTTAGTTTGAAGAATGAGGGATAAGGACATTTTGGTTATCCGAAATGCTACTTGCAGGGAATGCTACTTGCATCTAATGAGTATGATTCTAAATGTTCTACAATGTACAGGACAGCTCCCACGACAAAGGCTTATTCCCCAAATGTCCACAGCCCGAGGTGGACAGACATGGGATTGGAGGAACAATATTCAGGACTCTAGAATCTCAAGTCTATAACACCCTGCAAGAGTTGAAACAGCCACTGAGAAGGGCCACCACTTAACTGTTCTCTAGAATTCCCAGAAGATCTGGTGTATTTATCTCCTGTGACAGTGCATAGACTCATTCATAGATGTAGTTCTAAGATTTTAAGATACTCTTAAAATATGTTCTAGCTACCCACATGGATGCCCCCCTTGATGCTAGATCAATTTCTCATTAAGAGACTTTTGCTAATTCTTAAACTACCTCCTTACTTTGCATTTCTGTAACTCAGCATCACATCTGAAAATAGGCAGATTAGTCAGCACTGCATCTGAAAATAGAAAGATTAGTCAAAACCCCAAAACGAGCACCTTTTTTGATGTTTGCTTCAAAGGCCAAGGGCTCAATCACCAATCGCAGTTGCATTCCGAAAGGCATTACAGCAAGAAGTAGGGCACGAATGCACTTGGAGGCGGTCAGTAAGCCAGGCGGGGGCCCTGACCGTGCTGGTAATGTGACAGCATGAAGGGTGTGCAAAGCTTGGCCTCCTGGTCGCATTGCTCACACTTCAGCCGGTAAGACTGACATTTCTTTCAGTTTAACTCAACAGATACGGTGGAATGAATCGCATTTTGTAAGGTTGGGGCTTCAGAAAACTGTCCTGTTTCTTTATTTTACAGATTGGATCGTTGTCAACTTCATGTTTTTTTTCAGATGTGACCCGGTCATCAACAGTGACCAGCAGCAGCAGAGAATGGGAACGGCAAGGTTGTAAAGGTTGAGCAGTTGTAGGATTAACATAGAAGGGAAATTTATACTATAGTGATTATTACTGCATGTTATATACAACTGAGTATTACATATTGTTTATATTTTGATATTAATGTAATAATTATTCTATATGATTATGTATGATATCTATTTCTATTACAGGGGAAAAAAATCGCAATGTGTGCACCTGGTTTGGGGAGAAGTATGTAAATAGAGCCATGGAACATCAACATGACGAGGAAAAGGGCGGGGCTAGAGCGAGGACTGAAGGCAGAGTAAACACAGCTTGTCTGAAAAACAGACACGGTCCTCGGTCCTCGTAACTTTGGCTCTCGGGGGTGCAAATGGCGTATATCTGATTCCGCTCTGTGGCAGCAAGATGCTTCTTCACCTTGGGTAAACAGGAAATTACAACTAAAGGACGCACAGAGTAACCTGCTGTGTGTCACCTGCACACTGTGGACTGCAGTGCTCTTGGATTTATACATAAATACTTCAGAGCTTTAAATGGCAAAAGGCTAGATCTGTTTACCTCTGCACTGTGTACTTGGGAATTACGAAAGAATTAAGGAAATAATTTACTGTTGTAGTAAAGGCCCTGAGTGCAATATTTATAACATAAAATTCCTTCCCTTAAGAAACGTGGGGAACTCTGTTGCAGGAACTCTTAAAATGACATGACAGAACAGAATGCTCCTTTTGCAGATGAAAAGCTGAGAGCACCCTGTCCTTCCCCAACACTTATAAATATCAAGCAAGCTGAAGAGACCCTTCTCTCAGGCTCCCCGTGCCTGGATACTATCAGAGATTCGCTTTTTGTCTCTCATGAAGAATTTGCCCCTTTCAGAAATGGGCTCGTCAAAAGAGTGCCCTGCACCTCTGTTCTGCACCTTTGTTTGGAGAACCAGCAGGCTTCGTCATTACAGAACGCCTGGGTATTGGCCTTCAGGGCCCTTCACTGAGACGTCAGAGGCAAAAGCTAGAAGTGCTCCCAAAGAGATCCTAAGATTTGCTCAGGGCTGAGCAGATAGGAGGTGACTGGGACAGCACTGGCACCCTGGGCTTCTGACTCTGGGTTCAGGGTTACGCCTGCTTCTCCTAAAATGCTGAAGGTCCCAGACATCCATGCAGCCATGCTTCTAGACCCACAACCATCTGAAGGAAGGGTTCTCTCCAGTCACTCTAATAACTGAAACCCACTGGCATGTGTCAAACATACCTAAGAATGCTTGATCTAAAGGAAAGAATGAAAGCCCACCTATCCTCATTTTTTCTCGTCGTTTCAGAGAGATGGCCAAAGTGCCTCAAATGTACCCTTCCGTGCAGCCGGTATCATTTTAGCTTTAGTATTTGAGTACCTTATAGAAAGAAAATAGATCGTTATAAGCACAACTAGCACTAAGATCAACTACAATTCCACTTACTACCCATTCACTCTCAGGGTAAACTTCTGGCTGTCACATTCATGAGATTCAGTTACCACTTCTACAAAAGGGGCGACTCTTGAGTTCCACTCTAAAAGATTCAGCAGTAAGGGGGCACCTGGACAGTTCAGTTGGCTAAGCATCCGACTTCAGCTCAGGTCATCATCTCACGGCTCATGGGTTTGAGCCCCACGTTGGGCTTTGTACTAACAGCTCAGAGGCTGGAGCCAGCTTCAGATTCTGTGTCTCCCCCTCTCTCTGTCCCTCCCCCTCTCACGCTTTTGCTCGCTCTCTCTCTCTCTCTCTCTCAAAAATAAACATTAAAAACACCAAAAAGAAAAAAGATCCGGCAGTCGGGGGTGTGGCCCAGGAACCAGCATTTTTGGAAAGCTCCTCATGCCATCCTGATGCACAGCCAGACATAGGAACCACTGGTTGATTACAGTGATTCCAAGAGAATAAAACAATTATCTCAGAAGAATAAGGGACATGTTTGCATTTTTAAAAAATGTTTGCTTACTTTTTAAGAGAGAGAGAGAGGGAAACAGCATGAGCGGCGGAGGGGCAGAGAGAGAGGGAGACACAGAATCTGAAGCAGGCTCCAGGCTCTGCCCTACAGCACAGAGCCTGATGCGGGAGCTTGAACCCACGAACCACAAGATCATGACCTGAGCTGAAGTCAGAGGATAAACTGACTGAGCCAACCAGGTGCCCTGACATATTTGCATTTGATGTTAACCCAAACCAGGCATGAACCTGGGAGGATACAATCCTAATTCAAGAAAGGCTTAAATTTAGCATGTATAATTTTATAGACTGAGATTAAGAGGGGGGAGAAAGCAGCAGGCCATGTGATTGCTGGCAGGATTTTCTCAGCTCATTTGTATAGAGTGCTTTAAACAGGCCTGGGTACACAGAAAATGCTCAATAAATGTTAGCAATTATTTTTAGTATTGAGTAGAAATTGCATTGATTAATTTGGGGAAATTGTAAATGATCATTAAAGTGGGGAATGGTCAGCTCTTTATGTGAGCAAAATGCATCTCAGAAATTATATATAAATATCAAAACAAATTAAAACTTCACTGGTATGTTAATTTCTTACATTTTCGCACCAAGCGATATTGGCTAGACCTCTTCTTACTCTCACCTTGCTTTGTCTTCTTTAAAACTGGTATCGATCCCTTTCTTTCTGAAAAATAAATACTGAAAATCATCTGGAAAAGGCCTATGTTCTCATTCCAAGAAACCGGAGGTGGACAAATCCTTTAGATCATCTCATCTATCCTGGGGACAAACAGTGGAAGAGGATATTGCAATATGCACGGATTACACACACGTCTCTATAATCAAATTTCATAAACTTCTCCTGCGTTGTACTTGAGTATCTTACAAAATGTATCGGAAACAGTCATGACGGTTGAAGGTAGAAGATGTTTGGTTTTAGTTGTTTCATTTCCCCAGCTGAGTTTCAAGGGAGTGTTTGGTCTTCATAAACTTTCTGCAACACGCAGGTATCAGCCCGCTTCTTCCCGGTTCTTAGCTGGGACTGGGCGATACCTCTTAGCAGGTACAAAATGACTAAGTAACTTTTAGTAATGTCAGTTCCGTGCTGGGTTCTTAATGCAAGACCACTTTGTGACCCTGCTCAAATATTTTAACCCTTTCTTCTCCCCAAGGTGTCCCTTAGCCAAAGCACAAGCACTATTAAAACATGATGATAAATCATAGGCATTTGCCCACTGACCTTCCTTACAACACCGAAAAAAGAAGCCGTGAGCTCTGAGGGCTCAGACCCAACTTAGACAGCGTCTCTGCTGTTGATGAATCTTTATGGAAGCCTTATCTTACATTTTTAACAGCAAAGCTCGGGCTCTGTTTTACTGAAGCTGTTTATATATCTAATCAGAGTAGATCAGGAAATGTGGTTGACAGCATAGGGCTGCCTGAGAAACATAATATTTGCTGGCCAGCCTGAAGGCGACCTCTCAGCTTAGAGGCATGATCAATGAAGTGTGCCTGAGGCCCTGTTTAGATTAAGGGAAATAGCACATTGGTGGCCACATTCATCCCAAGCAAATCGTTTTCCCTCATGCAGGCTGCAGCGAAAAGCTTTCCAATAAACCGATGACAGGATTAAACACAAGCAACTCCTCATGTGCCCCTCATGTGGCTGCGGGCCACAGGCGGGGAGGAATGCCGGCTCTCTGTGCGACTAGGAGGAGGGTGGCCCTTCAAGGACCAGCAGCCCACACTCTACCCTGCCACTAACTAGCTGCGTGTCCTACAGCTAATTAATATCTATCTCTGGGACTTGTTTCATCACATGTAAAAGAGAGATGCATTAGTCAGGGTTCTCCAGGGTTAAAATACACAGCCCCCCGCCCCCCACGCGCGCGCGCGCGCACACACACACACACACACACACACACACACACGAGAGAGACAACGATGTATTTTAAGGGACTGGTACACAGGATTGTGAGGGCTGACAAGTAAAATCTGCAGTTAGAGCCCCAGGGAAGAGCTGGTGCCCTTTAGGGTCCAAAGTGTTCAGGAAGCTGAACTCCCTCTTCGTCAGGGGAATTCAATCTTTCTTCTCAAGGCCTTCAACGGACTGGATGAACTGGATGAACTCAACCACATTATAGAAGGCACTCTGCTTCACTCAAAGTCTACTGATTTAAATGTTAGTCTCATCTGAAACACGCCTTCAGAACCACATCTCGGTTGGTGTTTGGCCCCAAACTTGGAACCATGGGTACCACAGCCTAGCCAAGTTGACACGTAAAGTTAACCATCACAGGGCATCATGGTAACATTTCACTCAGATAGGTCTGAGGAAAATTAAGTGCAAATGCCAATAAAACACTTGGTGCAGGCCTCAATAACTGACTCTTTGTGTCCTAAGATTTGGGGCCGATTGACTAATAAAGGTTACATTTTAAAACATTAGAAAACCTGAGTTAGCACTGTGCATGATTCAGCATTACCATCTGATAGCACCTGTTTCACACTCCTTCTCCGCCACAAGGAGGACTCGTGGGCTTCAGCAGGTGTCCCTGGAGAGTGAAGGATGACACATTTGTTGCGAAGGCAAGTTTATCAGCTCCCAGACTTTTTAAAGACTTACCTTCTGTTGTTGAAAACCAATAAAGAACCTTTGTGGGCACAGTCAACTGTTCATGGATGTTTCCCTAGCACGTGGCCCCAGCCATTTGGAACACGAAGTAGCATGTTAAGGGCTCATTTAACTTACAAAGTGCTTATCCCAAAGTTGGAAAAGGGTGCTGCGGAATGCGGCCTCCATGTATATCTTGTTCTCGTGGTATGAAATACGGCCGCAAAGAAAACTTCATTGTTTCCATTGCCAGGTTCTTTCATGACAGGGGAGCCTGGACGGTTACTGGTGGAACGCTACCTTTCTAAGATTTATTAGGAGTCATAGAGGGCTCAGCAAACTCGGAAGGTACCTTTGTATCCTACAGCACTCAAGACTGATTTAATTTCATGTCAGTCCTGGAACTGCAACCACAATATGAACTGCAACTTTATAAATTGCTCCTTGGAGCAGCTGCCCTTACAGGTGGGGAGTCAAATGGGTGGAAATGTAGAGGAAGCCGGACGACTGAGAATCGGCACACTGAACGAGCAGATACATTTCACCAAACTCTGCGGTTCTCATCTGTCCCCCATCTCACCCCCAAAGCCCCTTCTTTCCCTTGTGTTTGTCTCCTGCTGAAAATATTCTTTTTTTTTTTTCTTTCAGAGGGATGTCATATGAGATGTGAGGGAGAAAATGAATCATGCTACCATAGTACATAAGGCTTTTGGATTTGCAAAGATTATTTCCTCAAAATCCTGCTTGTAAGAAGCGCAGAATAAAGAGTAAAGCCTAATTTACATCTCCTCTCACAACAGCGTCCCTGATGAGAACGTTAAAACAAACTGATGTCACTAAGAAAACAAAGCTAATACTCAGAAGCACTGACTTCTTACAGGAGCTAGAAAATGGTTGCATAGCATCAATTAAGCCATGCCTTAAAATGAGCGTGCAACAGACAGTGTTACTGGAAGGAAAGCACATACCAAGTGTCAGGGCAAATCTCCCAACAGTCTGGTAGTTCCGTCACAGTGGAGCACTGTCTTTGCAGGTGGTGGTAGCCAGTTCTCTTTGGTCACTTGGAATTATTCTGGTCCAAGCATTTGTGGACAGTGTGGGGACAGACTTGGTGATAGGATGGTCACAGTAGCTTGAGAGAGGTATTCCATACCTTGAAAGCATACTTGTGGTTAAATCTAAAAAAAAAAAAAAAAAAAAAAAAAAATCTTTTAGAAGAAATGTAACCTAAAAATAAAGTTAAAAAGCACAGGATAAGGGGTGCCTGGGTGGCTCAGTCAGTTGAGCATCTAACTTCAGCTCAGGTCATGGTCTCATGGTCCGTGGATTTGAGCCCAGTATTGGGCTTTGTGCTGACAGCTCAGAGCCTGGAGCCTGCTTGGATTAGGTGTCCCTCTCTCACTGCTTCTCCCCTATTCATTCATTCAACCATTCATTCTCTCTCTCTCTCCCCCCAAAATAAGTAAACATAAAATTTTTTTTAAAAACACAAGATAATGGAATATATTAGCACAGGTTGCCAGCTCTAATCGTCAGGTTTGAAGTACATGCTCTTACAGCATTCACTATACCCATTATAATTCATCAGCTAACACAGATCCACAGTCACATGGTCTCCGTGTCTTACAAAGAAATGTGGTCTTTGTGCTACTCACATTTCAGATATTTTGGCAGATTTCTAGAATGAAATTAAATGCTTATGTTTGCTCTCGCCAAAACTGGTCTCTACATGGCTTTTCACTGGACATTTTAATGATTAGAAAACAAAAAGAATCACAACTATACATTTACAAATCTCCAGGCTTACCAACATCTACCACCCTTGTGAAGAGAGCACACTGATCTTTAGCATAACACACACGTGCTCAGGTGCACAGACACCTCCCTAGCAGCCCAGGTACAGGTTAATCTGGCACAACTTTACACTATTCATTCGTTGTGTGCTCACTGCTTTTTTTAAAAATTTTTTTTAATGTTTATTTTTGAGAGACACAGAGGGCAAGCAGGGGAGGGGCAGAGAGAGAGGGAGACACAGAATCTGAAGCAGGCTCCAGGCTCTGAGCTGTCAGCACAGAGCCCGACGCGGGGCTCAAACTCACAAACTGTGAGATCATGACCTGAGCCGAAGTTGGACGCTTAACCAACTGAGCCACCCAGGCGCCCCTCTGCTCCTCTCTTTAATAAGGGTATTTCCTTGTGGGGTACCTCTCCTCTGAAATCAAACATAGAAGAGTTACAAGAAGTGTATCTCTTCTCCCAAACCTCAAAGCAGAAATGTGGGTTTTAGTCCCAGTCTAGTGTCATCCACCTGATCTGCATTTCCAGCTCGTCACTCAGCATCCACCATCACCCGACTACACCAGAATTGAAATAGGCGGGATTCAAACGTCGTGGATATTGGGACATACTTCTCATCCCTGAGCTGTGCGTTTGCTTCAAGACTGAGAGGGAGGAGAACTAGGGAGTGTATTCCTTTACTGAAGGGATATTGTGTGTAACAGCGGTCGGAAGGAAGGATTAAAAATACGTATCTGGTTCCAAGACATTTCTAGCACTTCTGGAGGCACAGCGTTGTGAATTTCTCACTTTGAAGTGGTTACTTTCAGGGTCACCTGGGGTGGCTCAGTCGGTTGAGCGTCTGACTTCAGGTCAGGTCACGATCTCCATGGTCGGTTCGTTAGTTTGAGCCCTGTGTTGGGCTCTCTGCTATCAGCACAGAGCCTGCTTAGGATCCTCTGTTCCCTCCTTTGTGCACCTCCCCTGCTCGCTCTCTTAATAAAGAAACCATTTTAAAAAGTGATTACTTTTATGTCATATTAATTTCACCTCAATAAATTATTTTTTCAAAATGTATTTATCCACGGAGCAGTCACCTAAACGATCTAAGTGTCCAGCAATATCCTCCCCCACCCTCCCTCCTCCCGTCTGCTTTCTTTTGGTTGCATTTTAAGCCTCCTGGTATCGGTCACATTGACCAGGCCCGGTCCTGGCCCACTGTGAGGTGGGTGAAGTGTGGCTGATGGCCTCCTCGGCCCCTGCCGTCCCTCTCATCTGCTCCATCAGTGTCCCCAAGCCCCCATGTCTTCTTGCTACTCGGTACTTCCAAACCCAGAGAAAGGAACCGGAATGAACATATTTGGAGGTAGCAGATTGATGTTTTACTCCCAAGCGTTGGGGTTTTGTTCAGCCAATTACGCACCACATAAATATATCTTGAGCATGTCAGGTGTGCCGGGAACAGCGATGCGTAGCGCAGTTGTGTCGGTGACCCAGACAGGGTTAGAAGTCACCCCGGCTCTCAGGCGGCTTGGTCTAGTGGGGAGTGTGTAGTCAGAAATCTGAATACCGCGATACGGCAT